CTTTTATAATGGTTTTATTTTTGGAATTAATATATGAGATTTGTAAAATATTTTATTAAAGGTTTATCTCGCAGTTTGAATTTTATGAGAAAATGATTTGGCAAATTTTATTTGTTTAATATTATCCTTTTTAGTAATTGGATTAATGGTTTTTAGTTTATTAAGTATCTTATTAGAATTAAATAAATTTAAGCAACAAAACAAAATATTCACACTCAAATGATTAATTCTATTTCATAAGCCTCTATATAAAATCTTGATGTTTACCCTTATGTGATAATTCAACAAATTAAGTTTGTTTGGATATTTTGGAAATAATTGGCAATTTCTTCATTGCCTTGATAACTATGGATTATCATTAGGATTAAAATAACTGATTAATTTTGCAACATAAATGAGTTCATATAATAGAATGTTTTAGATAATAATAGATGTTGAATCAGAAGCACCTTAAGTTAAAGAAGGAGATTAAAAATTAAAATTAAATTACCAAATTTTCCAGAATCAGGTGATATTAAATTTGAAAATTTATTTATGAAATATATTTAAATTCTGATTTAGTTTTAAAAGGAATAACATTTGAAATAAAAAGTGGATAAAAATAGGTTGTGTTGGTCTAAAATAGAAGTTAGTGGAATAAATATTAAGTTATTAGAATTAGGAAAATTAAGAAGTAGTATTGGTATCAACACATAATCTCCATTTTTATTTACTGGTAGTCTAAGATCAAATTTAGATCAATTTAATTAACATAATGACTAAGATATTTGGAAAGCATTAAAAGTTTCAGGATTATCAGACTTTACTAAATAATTTTCTAATGGCTTATTAACAGATATGTGATGTTAATTCAATATTCTCTTTTGGTTAAAAATAATTAATTTTTTTTAGCTAGAATTTTATTATATAAAAGAAGATTATTGTATTATATGAACCAACTACTAATCTTGATATGAAAACAGATGATTTCATTTAAAATACATTAAAAACTAAATTCTCAGATTGTACATTAATTACTATAGCACATAGATTAAATACAATTGCTGATTATGATAAAGTTATGGTTATAAGTGAAGGATAAGTTATTGAATTTGATACACCATTTAATTTATTAGCTAATTCATTAGACTCTATTTCTGTTGATAAAAATACTGAATTTTCTAGATTAGTAAAAAACACAGGAGAATAAAATACTTAAGCCATTTTTGATATTACCAAATCAAAATAACTAAAAAGATGAATTTTATTTTATGTATCATATNAGAGTTCAATAACTTATATATAGAAATTTAAAACATATATATTGAAATTATAATTACTTAACTGATTAATATTATAATAATAATAATCTAAGACTAATCACAAAATTTTTTTATTGTATGATATTAGTTTTGATTGTGATAGCTCTCATAACAATAATAGATTATAGGTCTTCATTAATTATTATTTTATGAATTACCAAATTTAAGAAACAAAAAAATACTTATTATTCTAATGATTGATTAACTAATAAAATTATTCAATAATTAAATATTTAAGATCAATCCAATTTTATACTTCCAAACTTCACAATTTTTAGTTGATATTTTATTTTATTAATATGAAAACTACATCTCATAGTATCAGCTAATCTAGCCATTTTTATAATTGTACTTATGTGTTAAAAGTTGTAAATTAACTTAATTATAAAATCTAAATCTAGATCTAATGATAATACTCTTAAATTCATAATCAAAAGAATATGATCTCATCCAAAAATATGATTATAATCCAAAAGAGGAGAATATGTTTATTATTAATTTGATAAGGTAGAAATCAATTTATAAAAAGAATTACATGATTTTTTTCTGAGTGTCATAGATATAAGATGTCTAAAATTTTGAAAACTAATTGGATACATCCCTAGATCTCTAAAAAATTAATATCCTTCATTTCTATATTCATAAAAGTTTGTAGAGTTAAATATTCGATTATAAAATAAGAATTTAAGTAAAATTAGTAATAATTTGCTTTCATCAAATGATTTAATTTAATTATTATTATTAAATGTTAATGTTTACAAATAAATTATACTTATTTTATTCTCTTAAAGTATTTATAAAATTCTTTCATTATAATTAATTTTTAGGATTAATTTTTGTGAAATAATCATGATTTCATTTTAGAGAATTATTTATAGATAACTGACCAAAAGGAAAAATTGTTAATTCAATTTATTATTGTATAAAATATACAATAAATTTTTAATCAATCATGTATTATTTTTCCTTTTAATTTCATCTTGTTCATATATCTCTTGAAGAGATTTTTAATTCTTATACAATTAGTGTTTGTGCTAAGTATCCAATTGATGTCTAACTTCTTCATCTAATAGTTTTAAGATTATAGGTTTTTTCCTTTATCAAAATAAATTAACTAGATTATATCATTTTAATTAAATATCTCAAACTTAAGATCAGCATTTATTTTGAGAATTATAATTAATTTTATAAATAATTTAAAAAAGAAATTTTTAGTTATTGATTGTAAAACTAATTGAAATAACACTTTAACATAATTATTAATAATTGCAACATCTATTTTTTGCACCTTTTTTATTATCAAATAGATATTTATGAATCTGTGGGAACTTAATAATTATTAAATAATTTAGAAAGAAGAAATTATATATAAATTCAATATTTTCAAAAACAATAGATTAATTCTAAATAATAGTATATTATATTCCTTAAACCAATTAAATTGCAAAAAATAAAAATATTTTCAAATATTATGCCAAATTTTAGTGTATAAAACTTGTTAGGTATTTTAAAGCTTTTTTCTTTTTCTAGAAAAATTCATTTAAAGCAAATCCAAATCATATTAAAAATTAAAAAAATGATCAATTTAAATGAATATTAATCGATTTTTGATTAGTCTAAAATATGGCAAAAAGGAACTTAAGATGTAGAAGTTGAAATATGGGATTAAGTTTAAAAGTAATTTTTTAAGACCAACATTCTAATCACATTTACCGAAGATTATTCAATTTTCTACTAATAGGATGGAGTTATTTTGAGAAGGTATATAATTAGTCAGTTATTAGTTTTCAAAGAGATTCATTCAAAATAAACCCTTAGAATCCTTTAGTATTGATAAATATGTAATAAATCAAATATCTTCGATGGTAAGTTAAAGTTGTCGATGAGAAAAGAAATTTAGTAAAGATTATGGCTTTTGGAATGGAGAAGCACAAATAGAAGTTGGTGGGTACTTTGAGGATGGAGTAAAAATAGGTTTGTGGTCGGAAATAGCCCAAAATTATTGGTGGTAAATTTTATCCTTTGATTTAATTATAGTAAATCTCAAGTATAGAAAAAAGGAGTATATATTAATAATCATTAAAGAGGGTATTGGAAATATAGCTGCAATAATAATATGATGTATTTTTTTGTAATAAATCATAAAGAGGTGGTGGGCAGTGCAATGAGCAAGGTATAAAAGTAGGTAAATGGGTTGAGTTAAGTGAAAATTTTAAGGAGGATTCTCAAGTAGTTTATAAGGGTGAATATAAAAATGGGAAAAAACTAGGTATTTGGGAAACTTTTTAAAAGTGTAAATAGATGTAAAATTATATTATTAAAAATAAAAAAACGAAAATTTAGTGGTGGATTTTATTGTGAGTCGAACGGAGTATCAATGAAGACTGGAAAGTGGTGTGAATTGATTGATGGATTTAGTGATAACTCTAAAGTCACTTATATTGGAGTTTATAAAAATGGTATGAAAATTGGCAAATGGGATATTTGGTGGATCGAGGATAAAAAATATTAAATAATGTAAATTTTACAAGATAAATTTTAGTGGAGGTGGATCATATGATGAAATAAGTTCAATCAAGAATGGTAAATGGATTGAGTTGAATGAAAGATTTAAAAAGGATTCATAAGTAAAATATATTGGAGTATACTAAAATAATAAGAAAATTGGTAATTGGAATATTTTTTGGGAAAATTAATTGATGTACATATTGAAAAAAAATTATAGTGGGGGTGGATTATATAATGAAGAAGGCTCATTCAAAATTGGGAAATGGATTGAGTTGAGTGATAGGTTTTAAAGGAATTCTTAAGTCACTTATTCTGGTCACTATAAAAAAGGTTAGAAAGTTGGAAAATGGAATATTTTTTTTAGAGAGAATGATGAATTTTATTAAATGTAACTTTTGATATTACTTTAGAGGTGGTGGAAAATACGATGATGAATGTTCAATTAAAAGTGGCAAATGGATTGAGCCAAAGGAATCTTTTAATTTGTATTCATAAGTCACTTTCAATGGTCAATATAAAAATGGTAAAAAAGTAGGTAAATGGACAATTTGGAATAGAGATTTTAGAAATGGCGAGAATTAATAGATGTAAGAATATTTATAAAATAAACTTTTGTTAGTGGTGGTGGATTATATGATGAAAGTAATTCAATGAAAATTGGAAAATGGACTGAGTTGAATGATGGGTTTCATTTTATTTCATAAGTAACTTAAGTTGGAGAGTATAAAATGGATAAAAAGTCGGAAAATGGAATATTATGTATAAGGAGAATGAGGTTGCAAGCTTTTAATTAATGTAAAAATGAAAGTCAATATTAAGTGGAGGCGGATTATATGATGAATAAGGTTCAATAAAGAGAGGAAGATGGATTGAATTGAGTGATGGATTTTATAGATGGTCTTAAGTAACTTATCTTGGAGAATATAATGAATGGAGAAAGGTAGGTGTATGGAATATAGAGTATGATGGAAAAAAAATGTAAATTTATATTTTAGATGATTTCTAGAGGTGGTGGATAATATGATGAATAATTTTCAATGAAATTTGGGAGCTGGATTGAACTAAGTGATGATTTTTATGTAGATTCGCAAGTTATTCATAAGGGTGATTATAAAAATGGTAAAAAATTTGGTAGATGGGATATTTTATTTCGATTTAGTGTTAATAATTCATTTAAATAAATGTAAGAATTAATTTAACAAATAATATTAGTGCAGGAGGTTCATATGATGAAGGAAATAAGATATGAAAGAAAATGTTAAATTCTTGAAAAAAATGAATAAATTATGGAAATAAAAAAATATTCATTGTCTATTAAGTTATAAAATTTTTCTTGTCATTAGTTTTATAGTTTTTTTAAGTATTATTTCTTTAGTAACCTTTTTAAAATATAAAATAATAAATTTATTTTAAGATGATTTCCAGCCAGCAAACTAAGTTTTAGATGAAAAATATTTTTTTGAATAGATTAAGTTTTATAAATTGAACTTTGAAAATTAAGTAAAAATTTTTGATACTCGTTTAGGTTACTTCAAACGAGTTTAACATAGCAACAGTAAATCTATCATCTGTTTGTTATATATTGGATTCGAAAGGTTATTTTATCACTGAAATATCTTGTAAAACTAAAACTATGTATTTATTAGAAGTTATGATAGATAAGAAAGATTATTCATTATTTAAAAATGTGCTAGAAGTTTATTAATTATTAGGTAAGTCTGATAAAGATTGTTTCATGGGATTTTAGAATGAAAATTAATTATCGAGCATTTACTCTTTTTAAACCCAGCATTTTTCTTTTTGTTTCATCTCTTAAAAGTATTATTCTTGCAATTTTTGAAGCTCTTTTTATTCTTATAGTTTTCTTAATTTATATTTAATATCACATCTATTATATTTTATATCTAATTTCTAATTTAACAAGGTTATTTTTAGGAAAGGTAACAATTATTTTCTTTGGAAACAGAATCATCCATGATTAACAAGGATAATAAAAAGGCAAATTGGATGGTCATAATAAATTAGTCACATCAGTATGCTTTTCTCCAGATGGAACTAATTTAGCATCAGGTAGTAATGGTGAATCAATCCGTTTATGGGAAGTTAAGACAGGATAATAAAAAGCCAAATTAAATGATCACACTAATACTGTCTCATTTGGGAATACTTTAGCTTCTGGTAATTTTTTTGCTCCTGATCCAAATATTGCCAATTTAAATCATCTATTATAATTTACTGACTTAAGAGATTCTAAATATTCCTCTCTCATAATAATCAAAATTTACAAAATTATATTTTCAAATTTTACTTGAATATTCATTGATCAAAAAAGTCAAATTTGATCCAATAGTTATGTTTATACAATATGGTAAAGTTCCCTAGCATGCGATTTGCAATCCTTCTTCTTTAATTAAATTTAATGAAATTGCTCCTATAGTTCTATTGACATATCAATTAATTCATGCATTTAGAATTGAATTCATCTTTTGGAGCTCTCAAGCTACTACAAAGAACTTCTTAAAATTTTTATAAAGAAATCGCTACTGTTTAAAAATGTGATATTAATTAGATTGATCTAGTCATCTCTAAAAATTCAGATAATCTAGTTTTATGATAAAGTCTACTATATTGTATATCTATATTTATTTTAATACCAAGCATTACTTCAAAATTTCTAATATATTACAAATAAGTGTCATTTGGATAAGTATTTGATGAAAATTTCCTGTTAGATGTTGTTTCTA